TTTGAGCTACTTGCAAACGACGCTTTTACCCACGTCATGCTTCACATTATCCATTAATATTAATTTAAAAATGTTATACATAACTTTTTTTTTTTTTTTTTTAGGACAAGCGAGCTAATGTATTTTATTAATCAATGGACAAAGTGTCCGAGAGAACATAAGGAGCAACCATTTCAGGGCAATGGTTGATCCAAACTTGTTCGACACCAAAAGGCATTAGCTAGCAAGGTAATGGACTACATTATTCCCATCCCTTTTGACATGAGACCAAGTAAAAGACGTAAAAGCACAACTTAAAGACAGAATATCCTCCAACACATTATCAAAGTCAGTGTAAAACATAGCAGCCTTGGACAGTCGATTCACGAGCACTTGGCAATCTGATTCGAGAATAATTTCATTGTAACCAAACCTTTGCGCAAGCTTCATGGCATGGAGAAGAGCCTTCCCTTCTGCTATCTCAGGTGGCCACCAAGCCTTCACCCTTCTTGTTGCTGTAAACAGAACCTTTCCTGCATGATCACGAGCTACCATTCCCATGCCCACCCATCCCTCGACACACAAAGATGCATCTGAATTTACCTTTACCACACCTGCAGGAGGGGCAGCCCATTTCCTCTAGCTGGGTCGGGACTGACGAGAGGGAATTGCATAAATTCTTTTGCTGTACGTGCCAAATTCATCAGCTAGACATCGTACTCGAGCCACCAGCAGGCCATTAGGAGTTTCTGATCCAGCATGAGCCTTGTTATTTCTTTCTGTCCAAATTACCCAAGCAAGGTATGCTGCTCTTTGCTTGATTTTTGCCTCTAGTGTACGGTGTACCCCATCTCACCAGCAGATCACAAACGGTCTCACCATCTTGCGGTCTAGCAGCGGCACAACCACACTCATCCCATAAATCCCATACACGAGTGCACAAAAAAATCGCATGAGTGGCATTTTCCTCACAAACCACACACCACGAACACGCTGCAAAGTCCATCAAGTGTCGAGTGTGCAACAACATCTTGGTCGGCAGTGTATTCGTGCATAGCCTCCATAAAAAATGCTTAACCTTCGAGGAAGCTTCTAAACCCCAAAGTTCCACCCAAACTTGGTGAAATAGATCAAAATCACAGCCCTTACCAAGCATATATGAGGTCTTCGTCGAGTATTCCCCATCCTTTGAAAACGCCAACGTGATTTTGTCCTTTGGAGCTCTCATACTTAGTGGTATAGCTAGAATGCATTTTCTGTCCTGTTCGTTAAACCTGGCAGAAATAAGCTTGTCATTCCATTCCATTCTTGTAAAGTCCACAAGGTCACTCACCAAACATAAATCCTCAGCTTCTGGGGTTGTTAAAAATTGCCCATTTTCGTCGTCTACCCACGGGTCCTTCCAAATATTCACATTTGCTCCACACCCAATTCTCCAAATTATTCCTTCCTTCACAAGAGCCTTTGCACTCCAAATGCTTTGCCATGAATAGCTACCTGACAGACCGAAATAGGAATCAAGAAAAGTACTATGAGGATAGTATTTCGCCTTCATGACCTTCCCTAAAAGAGAGTCTTCCCTAGATACAAGCCGCCACGCTTGTTTCCCAATAAGTGCAACATTGATAGGTTGTCGTACATTTGTCAAAAATAAATTCCTAACAAAACCAACTAACAATGTAGTATGGTAAGTAGGGTCGAATCCACAGAGAGATGGTTATTCAATCTAACTTCTAAGGTATGGAGAAACTAAACTATGTCACGAAATTGGGATAGAAAAACAGTTTAAATTAAAAGAGGGAAAAAATAATAAATAAACAGACCTAGGGTTATGGTTCACCATGTTTATAGTTCTAAATCTATCAAATATCAATAACAATGCAATCAATCAATTATCTAGAGCAATTGCTAAGCCTACTGTCGGGTCTTAACGCTCTCAATTCAACATATGTAGTCCGGTCGCTAACATAATCAGAATTGCTAATTGTAGGTAAGCCTCTAAAAGTAAGATCTTTCGATTCAAACTCTTATTAACAATAATTAATCAAAAAATTGATCAGGTTGCAAGATTAACAACAAAACACTATTGTAGACACCCATTTGTGTCTCCCCAAAACCAAACCCAGTGATGAGTGCTTTTCGCGTCGAATCATAATCGAATGAAGCGAAAGTGTGGAAAGTCTAGTGTTGCGGATAGTTTTAATTTCTTTTCTCTTCTCTCTATTTTTGAAAACTTATTTTAAGAAAAACAGCTAATCCAGTTTGGTTGGTCCATGATATGGGTCCAATAATAGTGTAGTTGGATGGGGCTTGACAAGAGCTTTCCAAGGATATATTATAAGCCCAATTCCGATGAATATTGAGGAAATTATGACCAATTTACCAAACTGGGCCCGATTTGAGCTTTATATGCGGCCCAATGATCTAGAGGAGGGCCTAATATGATTTATCATTCCTAATGCAATTAGGAATGATTTTAGTCTTCTAGATTCTTCTAGAAGGTTCTTTTCATTCCTAATTCAATTAGAATTGATAAATTGACTTTTGTTGACTTTTCAGAGTTTTAATTAAAATCAAAGAGCATTTTCGAGGAAAATATACGATTTTATCCTCCAGTGCAGCAAATTTATCTGATTTTCGAAAACGCGTCAAAAACAGGTCTGACGCCTGGAACCAGGCTTAGCGCCAGCCATTGGCGCCTGGCGCTAGTGTTGGTGCCTGGCGCCAGTTAACCAGGGTTGGCGCCAGCTCTATTTCGGTTGCGCCAGGACTTTGTTATGTTAATTTATCTTTTTGGCTGATTTTCTCTATAAATAACGTATTAAAAACTGTTTTCATTCACCAATTCTCATCAACATTCGTCTACATTCACCTACAATTAGTTTTCAATTCTCATTCTCTTCTAATTCATTCATTCATCAATCAATTCATTCACCATCAATTCATCTTTCTCTTTTCTAAAATTGCTTTTCAAATACAAAATTCCACATTCACAAGATCTAGAAACACATAGCCATATTCGAAGTTGCCTTCGCCCTAGACGTGAAAGGTTTAATTTCTGAGGGTTTGGTCCCAAATCTCTATTTCAATTATTTAATTTAATTGTTTGTTTATTATTTTCCTTGAAGTTACTAACGTGTGTATTTTGTTATTAGAAAGAGGTACGAGGCATCAAAGTAAGTACTTTAATTGATTTATTGATGTTATGATCACGTACTGTTTATATTGTTATTATAATATTCCTAGTATCATGTCTAGGGTAATTTTAATATTAAATATGATTGTTATGATGCTTCCTATGTTCTTCCTAATACTTATGATTATTAGTATCATGTTAGGGCTAAAGATTTGATTTTTATTGCTTAGTGACATACTAGGGTTTGTTATTAATCTATCTTGTTAGTATCATGCCCAGGATCTTGCTATTTTCATTATGCTCTAACATGGATATTATGATTATGATTATTATAATTATTGTTATGATGATTATTTTGATTATAATTGTTATAATTATTATGATTATTATTTTTATGATTATGATTATCTTGATTATGATTATAATTTTATTGTCATGATATTTATTATTATGTTGCTTGATATATTTATTTATTGCTTGATCACACCTTTTATGCATGTTTAAAGGGAATCTGTACTTGTAATCACGCTTAATAAGATAATTAATAATCTTGTTAGGGTTAATATGATTATAATTTCAAGTGATCGCCAATAATAGTTTATTTGTGCATTATATTCAACCAACCTAGATAAACAGTTTTAGGTTAATCCTATTGATTGCATGTTAATTAAAAAACGCATATGAATACGATCAGAATAAAGTAGAGGCCTATTATTAGGGCAGGTTCAATCTCTTTTAGGTTGGATTTGTACCTTCATCCCCGAACCCTTATTTGGTTCTAGACCTTATGGAGTTGACGATCTCTTGAATCGTTAAGGGGTGTAACCTTCACCCTGTGAACGGTTTACAAGTTCCTAAAACTTGTTGGCGACTCTTTTGCTCTATCTTCTTCCATTTTGGACGCCACCGTACTTTAGTGTATGATCACAGTGGGGTTCAAGCTAAGGGGTTTAACGCTTGAAATTTATTCCCTACAACTATCAATTAGAGAAATCAATAATCAAAATATTAAAATTATCAATCAAGATTCATAGTATAAACATGGATTCCCAAACTCTAGAAATAAAACTACTCAAACATGAAATAAATAATTAAAACTAGATCTAAGGAAGAAAACATAATTAAAAATAAGAGATAGAAATAAAATACCTCAATGAATAAAACTAATAAACTCAAGAACAATCCATGGAGAATCCATGGAATTGCTCATGAGAAAAACTAGGGCAAAGAAAATGAACGTAAAAACGGCCTAAGGGAAAAATAATAATCCCTTCAGTATTTATGAACTTCCTAAATTCTAATCTAAAAATAAATCAAGAAAAGAAATAAGAAAATACAAATTACACAAGTTGTATTACTATTGGGCGATAGATGATGACGTGGCAAGAAGTTGATCGATGCAATCGAGGAATGAATGAAGATATGTAGCGGCAAAGCCTCGTGGGCTGCTGTGGCTGGTTGGCAGAACCTGCGGCCGCAGGGTGGTGGCCGCGCCCTGGCAGTAGCAGCAGGGAGGATCGAGTGGGCGCCGGGTTTGGTCGCAGGGTACATATCCCGGATTAAAACAGCCATAACTTATGTTCTAGGAGGCGTCTTGGGGAATGTGACATATCATTGGAAAGATATTCAAGTCTAGTTTCCAATGCAATTTGAATCGCATCTTACCGATCTGTAGAACTCAAGTTATGATCAAAAGAGTGAGCAAAGGTCAATTTTGCCCCTTTGTAAAATATCATTTTTCTTCATTTCTAACTCAAATTCAATTCCGAAAAGTGCATAAAGACCCTTGTGGATGCTATATTCATTCCTCATGCATATAAATCTCAAAATCAACATCCATGAACATGGGATCTTCGATTAATAAGCTCGATTCGTCGGCTTCTATCTAAATATCATCCGAATCAACTCCAAACACTTCGAAAGCGTCTAAATGATCACTGAAATCACCTGGAACATTATGAAAAACACAAACGAAGCGTAATAGAGTACAAAACAAACAACATATGCATTTACGACCTAAAAAGCGACCAAAAGACCTAAAAAGCAACTATAAACTTAGCATAAACGTGCCTACAAATCCTATATAAATGTGATTTATCACAACATTAAAAACCTCTAAGTCCTTGAAGCCCATACCTCTAGAGCATTTCGGAGTACACATTACATCCCATGACTTCCAATGTATTTTCCATTGGGAAGTCGAGTCACCCCAAAAGAACCTTGCCATAGCCGACTTGATATTATGAATAACCGAGCTAGGAAATCTGTATACTCCCATTAAATAGGTTGGAATTGCTTGAATCACGGCTTTAAGGAGCACCTCTTTTCCGGCCCCTGGAGAGTAACTTTTCCTTCCAACCCTGTAATTTCTTCCATATTCTGTCTAAAATAGCACCAAAAATAGCCTTCTTCAATCTCCCTACCACAGTAGGGATACCCAAATATTTACCAGGTCGATCAACACGTTTCATATTGAGTACCCCAATCAAATCATCTTGTTGCTCTGCGCTTACCCCTCCACTAAAAGACACTTCTGACTTCTCATAATTAATTTTTTGCCCGGATGCTACTTCATAGCGGTTGAGTACATCAACTATCACTTCGCATTCCTGTCGTGTCGCTCTAGCAAAAAGTAAACTATCATATGCAAACAAGAGATGAGATATAGCAGGCCCACTCCTACTCGCTTTCGGCCCATGCAACATATTAGTTTGAATTTTATTATTCAACATGTGGGAAAACGCATCAGCCACCAAAATAAACAAATAAGGAGAGAGAGGATCTCCTTGTCTCAATCCCCGGGTGGGATTAACAGCTCCACACACTCTTCCATTAATAATAAAAGAGTAAGAAACCGAAGTCACACAATGCATTACCAAATTCACCTATCTACCGTCAAATCCCATTGTGAGAAGCAATTTCTTCAGAAAACTCCATTCGACTCTGTCATATGCTTTTCTCATGTCTAATTTCAAAGTAATTGTGCCCTTTTTACTCTTACTTCTTTTCTTCATTGTATGAAACAATTCTAGTGCAATAAGAGCATATCAGTTATAAGTCTACCAGGAACAAAAGCACTCTGATTTTCTGTTACAACTTTAGGAAGAATCGACTTCAACCTAAGCACAATCACTTTCGAGACCAGCTTATACAATACATTACATAAGCTAATTGGCCGGAATTCGGATATATTTACAGGGGATTTTACTTTCGTAATTAAAGCAATATTAGTACTATTGACATGCTCCAGAGTAGAAGTGCCACATAAAATACTACGAACAAAGTTAAACACATCATCCCCAATTATATGCCAAAATTTTTGATAAAAGATAGCATGCATACCATCCGGACCAGGAGCCTTACAGGGGTGCATCTATTGCAGGGCTAGAAATACTTCCTCCTTGGTGTACGGCCTCATGAGCTCTTCATTCTTGTCACTAGAGATTACTGCATGTCTTAACATGTTGCAACACTTCTTGAATGTTGACATCAGAAGGGTTAGAGGAGGTGAAAAGTTGCGAGTAAAAATTACCAACAATCCCCTCAAATAAATCCTCATCCTCCTGCCAAATCCCATCCTCATCGTAAAGTCCCTCGATTGATTTTTCTTCTTCCTCTGAGAAGCTTTGTGATGAAAATAGCTAGTGTTGCGATCGCCATCCCTTACCTCCAAAACCCGCGACCTCAGGAACCAATATGCCTCGTGTTTGCAATGAAGCTCATCTAATTTTTTCTCAAGTTCTGTGCACCTCTCGCAACTCTCCATCGTCACCCGTTCTTGCTGAGCCGAATGTAGAGCTTTCTCCACCTTCTCGATTTGCTGCCCCAAGTCATCAAACTTCTTCTTGCTCCACACTGCCAAATTGTTGCTCGTGAGTTTAAGTTTCCCCATCACATCACTACTTCCCGCCTCCTCCGACGCTTTCTTCACCACATTCTCACAGGAACTATCTAGCAGCCAGGATGTTTCAAATTTAAAGCTCTTAGTTCGGTTTCTACTCCTTCTCGGCCTAGCAGTCAACCTCAAAACAATTGGCACGTGATCCGAGCGATGCCTCATAAGATGCTCAACCGAAGCATGAGGAAATAAACTAGTCCAAGTAGTCGACACTAGATATCGGTCCAACCTCTCCCTGACCCGAGTGTGGACGGTTCGAACCCGTTCCCATGTCCACCATTGGCTTTATAGACTAAATCACGAAGATCACAAGCATCCATAGCTTCTCTGAATCCCTTCATATCCCTCCTCTCACGATCAACACCGCTTTCCTTCTCATCATAAGACAATATTTCATTAAAATCCCCACCAACCACGATAGGTAAATTTGTCCCCTCACAGAGATGTCGCACCAAGCTCCACGTATGATGCTTATTTCCTGAATCAGGCCACCCATAAATCCCTACAAAAAGCCACTTCTCATTCCCACTCATCACCTCTCCACAAATATGATTTTGGGAGAAAGAAATTAAACTAAAATCCACGACATCCGCACTCCAAAATAATCCTAAACCTCCTGACTTCCCTCTACTTGCTACCCTAAAAGAATTATTAAAGCCCAACCTCCCTTTAAGACCCTCCACCGCCTCTTTACTAATTTTGGTATCCGAAACAAAAACCAAACTCGGGCATAAAGTAACACTCCACCTCCGGAGTCTTCAAACTGTCCAAGGGTTGCCCAAACCCCGACAGTTCCAACTTAGGATACTCGTTGGAGCTGACGGGGTTAGAACTCGCCAACCTCCGTCGAAAACACAGATGTCTTAGGTGATTCGGAACTACTTTTGCTTCGTTTCCTAACCCCTTCTACACTATCTGCTAACTGCTCCATCACTTCTTCAGCCCCCCTTTTTTGTGCCTCCATCTTAACTCCTCTCACCCCATCATCCACCTCCATGCTTACTTCCCCCCATGCCTCGCCACCCTCTTCCATCCCTTTTTACTCCCCTGCTTAGTCCCTGCTTCAAAAAGAAAAGTAGAGGAGCTCTTTTCCTTTCCCACCTTCTGTCCTTCAACAGACCCTTCTTTAATCAAAGAAAGGTTACTTTCATTCAGTATTCCAGCCGAATAAGCCAGCAGCAACGAATCAGGGACCCCACCTCCTTCCCCACTATGACTTTGCATCTCATTAATTGCCCCATCAGTCAACTGTTGAATTTGCTCTAATTTATCATCATTCTCATGTAAAGCATGTTATATCCGAGGCCTAAGGTATCCTCCTCCAACTCAATAGTTCAATACAACCTGTAAAAGTAGAACATAATCCGTAAATATAATTTGATGGTAAGGAGTCTGCTTCAAAACAAGGCATATTACCATGAGTAATGTTATATGCAACCCTATATATAAGCATTAAATATACTCTTGAAAATTGTATAAAATTAGGAATTCATGACTAAAAACACGCGTAAATCAGTGTTATTAGTATTTATATTTTGATGATTTTTTACCTTTTTGCGATTTTTAAGTGAAAATTTAATTTGCTTTGATTTATCACCATTCTCATATAAAAATTGTTACTATGTAAAAAATAAAGGTCACTATGTAAAAAATAAAGGTCACTATACTCCGTATTAAATATAATGCCAGTTATGTATTTACGTGTGAATAAACCTTAGGTCCACAATAATATTATTGTGAACCAGGTCCACATCAAATTTTCTGTGAACTATTTGATGATTAATTTAAATTTGAGTTGGATGTAGGGGTGAAAGTTCGGTATTCGGTTTGGATTTTACTCCAAACCGAATCCAAACCGAATTATTTCGGTTTCAGATTTTTGAAACCGAATCCAAACCGAATTTGGATTCAATCCAATCCAATACAAACCGAAATAATTCGATTTTGAAAAATGAATCCAATCCAAACCGAATTTTTTTGGGCTGTCATTTTGGGCCTTAAATTTGGGCTTTTATTTGGGCCTATTGTTTTAGTCATTTTAAAGGCCTAAATTTTGTACATTTCCTGAACAAATTTTTAAGAAAAAACTAAAGTCTTTAAGACTAATATTTGTCACATTAAGTAATAGCATAATTATTAAAAAAAAAACATTCCAGCCATTAGAATAAAATTACAGACATAATAGAAATCTTAAAAATGAAATAACAGTCCAACAGCAGCAAACTTAATTCAATTGGCAGTAGCTTAATTGGCTGGCAGCTTCAACTCTTCAACCGTTCAATCAAGCTCAACCAAGTCTTGGTTATTTTGACCACCACCAATTGTGTCAAATTTCTCAACTAACAACAGAAACAAAAAAAACAAGTTACATAATATATATGAAATATTGAAAAAAAATATCATATAATAATTGTTGTTATTAAAACATATCAAACAGAGGCTATGGGTGAACATCAATTATCACCAAACAATCAATCTATCACCAATTCGAACATCAAATATCACCAAACGATCAATCTATCACCAATTCGAAGTTTTCGAACAAAATAAAGGAAATCTAGGGACAATTGGACAAAGGAAAATTCACCAATTCGAACTATAAAACATCAAATTCACCAATTCACAAAGGAATATTACCATTTCGAACATAACAAAACATCAAATTCGCAAAATCGAAGAGAAGCAGGAAAAGAGAAGTGAAATCTGAAAAGAGAAGGTATTCTTACCTTTGACTGAATCAGAACGTGGTGGTGACTGGTGAGCGTTGAGCGGCGGTGAGATACCGAAGTACCAGACTGGTGGTGGACGGACGGAGTGAGGTGGTGAGGGAGAGAAGAGGGAAAATCTAGGGTTTTGGTGAGGGAAAGTGAAACTGTGAAAGGGAAATGGGAAAAGAGGGGACGAAAAGATCTAGGGTTTTGGATATATATATGTCATAAAATGGGCTAGTTCGGTGTTCGGTTTTCGGTTTTTCGAATTCCAAAACCGAATCCACATCGAAATATTTCGGTTTCTATTTTTTCAAACCGATCCAATCCGAAAACCGAAAAAAACCGAACTAAATTGCTTATTCGGTTTGGATTGGTTCGGTTTTCGGTTTTTATCCAAATTACTTTCACCCCTAGTTGGATGATATTCCTGATAAGGTGAATGTATGTAGAATATTATTGTTTACTAAATTTGTAATGTTAAGTGAGTTTTACTACCTAGTATCTAAGAAAAATTATTTGATCAAGTATAAGAATTTATATGTTCATTTTAACAAAACTATTTGGTAAGTAGTAATTTTTTTTATATCTTTAAAAAGTTTTACTTTGTATTTTAACCTAACAAAATCAACTATTTTCATTCTTATCCACATAATTCTATGTTCTTAGAAAAGTAAGAAAGAGAAAATTTTAATCCCATTTGAATTTTCAATTACCCAATTCAAGGTGTATAAAAATACATTCATATAAGTAAACAACTTTTTTTTTTAAACATATATCATTAGTTAGTATAATATTTTTATGTTTTTGTCAATCAAACAACTAGGATATTTTAAACTTATTTTGACAATCAAACAAGTACATGATTATTTGAGGTGGTGAAACCTTCACTTTCCATGAGTTCCAGCGTGTTGGCCAAATGTTTGATTTTCATAGGGGAATTTGATGGAGGGGTTAGTAGGTGGATGAGTTTCACTCCCCCATTAGTCCATTACGTATTGATATAATACGAATTAATTTTTGATAATGTGTAACTTAGTAGAATATTTAATTTAATTAAAAATTATTAGATAAATCTATAAAAATAGTTTTGTGTTAT